GCAGCTATTCTAGTCTTTGACTTGACACAGTATAAAAGTTTTACCGAAATCAAAATTTGGATACAAGAGCTACATCGGAACGTGCAGGATCCTATAATATTAGCATTGGTTGGTAATAAATTGGATTTGCATGCACAGCGTACTGTGTCGCGTGATGAAGCTTATCTATTTGCCTCATCGATTGGCGCAAGTTATTTTGAAACATCAGCTGAAGTTGATCAAGGTCTGGAACAGGTTTTTCAAACGATAGCCTTAGGATTTGTGCGACTAATGAAAGAGGGTAAAAGTCGGTCTTTACGTCAATTCGATTCATGCGACTCTATCACAGCATATACGAATAACAATACTGCCTTCAGTTATAGTTCAGCGGCTATGACTAACGGCAATGGCAGTTTTCAATTATCTGCTATACCAGTGGGCATACCAGTTGAGGGTGAAAATGTTAAGATTAGTGGTGTTGGAAGACAAGAAACTCCTTCTTGGAGTATTGAACATATAGCGTTAGGTGAGGTGGAACCCACGGGTAGTTGCTGTTATTAGGCTAGAAACAAAAATAATTTAAATTAGCACGCTAACTATTAGAAAATGTGATTTTTGTTTCGTATTAAAACACGAATTTATATTTTTTACTCTAGCTTTTAGCTTATCGAAAAATGTAAAGCAATCTTAAATTTAAGTTTATATTTTAAAATAGGTGACATGGAGGATATGTTTAAGGATTTAGTGAGATGAACTTTAAATATAATTTTAAAGCGAATATTGACATTACCATGATTTTAATAGTTATAACTTCTGAATATTGTAATGTATATAAAAAATATTTATTAATTTTTTATATTATATTTTCAAGTTTGTTATATTTATTAACTAATAAGACGCTTTTTTACTTGGCTTTTTTTAAATTATTTATGTAAGAATATATAAATCAAGATTATTTATATGATAATATTTAAATTAATAATAGTAGAAAAATATATTTATAATTTTGTTTGACCATTTTGTTGTTAGATATAAAAAGTTTATCAAAATATACGAAGATATTTTGTAATTTTATGTGAACGTTTAGTTAAGTCTTAGGATATTAACGCTGTACCACCAAAATAATTAAATTTTACATATAAGCATGTACAAATTATAAACAAATTTACAAAAATGGATCAATTAATAACTAAAATTAATTATATCAAAAGAAATTTTTTTTTGTGTTAAAGATATTTTAAAAGCATATATATATATAATATATATATATATTTATATATGTAATATAGTTATGTGAATAAATTCTATAAACCAATATATGTTTAATTATAAGAATAATTCCAAGTCGTACTGATACGATGGGATTTGCCAAAACGCGAGACAGTTATATGACAGTCAAAAATTCAATTAATTAAAAGTAATAAAAAAAATATTTGTTGTTCCAATTTCACTATTGTTCGATAAAAAACTCTCTATTGAAAAGCAATAGTTTATATTAGGAATTTAGTTTCTTTCGTCAAAACGGGCATTAATAATTAATTTAATATTGTTTATCATATAAAACTTATAATTTATAGTGGTATTTATTATATGGCAGTGCAAACTACCATAACTCGAACTTCTATAACTTGAATTTTCTATAACTCGAACCAAAAACAGTGCATCAAGGTTTTAGGGAGCAAATTACATGCAAATCTGCTTCCATAACTCGAACTTCTATAACTCGAATTTTTCTATAATTCGAACAAAAATTTTGTTTCGTGCCAACAGAAATATGGGAAAGTGCATTCTATAAGTCGAATTTTTGTTTTAAGTATGAATCCATTTTGGTGTTAGGGGAAGTCCCTTTTCCAAATCAAATATTTAATTTTTCCTTTCTTATGGCAGCGTGGTTTAAAGTAAATAAAATAACTTCCAATGCTACTCTTAACTATTATATTGAGCTTGACAATGAAATTTGTACATAAAGCTATCCTACAGATGACGATTATTGAGCACTATAGCTCTAAATTACTGGATCCAATTCTAAGCGCAACGGAAAGTGATAATGAGGGTTCTGTGTATGTAATTGTTTATCAGCCTTCCAAGAATGAAGTAGAAGACTCATTAAAAATTCTGAATTTATATTTGCAAACTAATGATACTACAACTGATGCTCACTATAAGAGTATGAATAGGGTGGAATCTCGTTTTATTGAAAATAAGGAAAAAGTTAAAGTCCCCAACCTTAATTTCTGAATATTTTACTTCACTATAACTTCTATGCTTTATTTGGTTGGAAATAAATAAATTTATTAAAATGTAATTCTAGTCTCTTTCAAAAATAAAAAGAAATAAAAAAATTCTCTAACTCAAAGTCTCTATAAGTCGAACCTTTTCTTTGCAAAATTGGACTTCAAGTTATGGAAGTTTGACTTTATATGCATTACAGTAGTGCTTAGTTGTGTCTGGCAAGCAATTTTTCCTGATAAGGTTGGTTATATTATTTTCTAGTACAATTTTGAGATATTTGGAAAAATTTTAGAAATAAAGGCCATTGAAAATGATTATTTTTGCATTATTATTATTATTATTATTAGGATAAGGGATAGGATACCGCGATATAAAACACCCATTGTGCCCCTTAGTCGGATTAGAGTGTTTTTCCAAGTCCGATTTCTTTAGTGAAACATAGTATAGAGCCTATCTTTCTTAGCCTTAAATCCCTATGTTCAATGAAATACGCTCCAAGGTGTTTCTTTCGCTTGTGCATCAGTGACGGGTATTTACCTAGCACATGGTAAACTGTTTCTCTCTATTTACAATATATGTAGTTTGAGTTTGATTGGATTCCTAAATTTCTTAGGTGATTATTCACTCTACAGTGACTAACTCTGTGTCGGATTAGAGTTCTATTTCCAAGTTACTTTCGAAGACAATTAAAGATTATATAACTAATCTGTTCGGAAAGAAATTTTTTTCCGGGCTATCTTGATATGCATATTACTCTACCTAAAGGATATATGTTATATTTTTCTTTACATACTTAAACTTAAATACTACGAACATTATGATATTAGGTTAGAAATTCATTCGACAAACAACTGTTTATTATGTGATTACATCTTAACCTAAGTTGAGACAGAACAATTATACTTGTATGTGAAAGTCGGTTGGCACTTTGAGATATACCAGATGCAGATTGTTAAGAATTGGTTTTTAGTGTATACAGTGGGTTAAAGAAGACATTGAATCGACAAATTTAGTAAAATATATAAAATATTTTTTTAACAATATTGTATTATCATCTTAAAATTTAATAACCTGATTGAAATCTATAAAAAGTATTGGGTTTACCAAAAAAAAAAGTAAAGATTGTTAATGCTGATGTAGCATCTGTGAACATATTGCTGTTAAATAAATCATTGGAACTGATCTATAAGAACATCTATCATTTTTATCTACACTTCTATGAAATATTTTTGTGATCATGTATGATTTGTATATATACAAATGTATATATATAATATATTATCTTAAGTACTAGCAAATTAATTGAGCATTCTAGATATATAAAACTATTTTCAAATGTATTGGATGTGGTAATCATCCCATACATTTTTCAGATTTCAAGAACAGATATTCTTTGTCGATATTCCACTACATAAGGTTACGAATAAACATATTAACAAATTGAATCAGCAAATTTATATTTATACCCACGTCATTGTTGAATGCTGATTAGATATCTGCTTTAGATCTTATGGATTGTAGTGGTTATTTGGAGCGTAAAAAGTGAAAATTTCATTGGTTGCTCAACTTAATTTAGTAAGTGATATGTAAGTTCCATTCCATGGGGAATTGAGGCTATGATATCCGTACTATAACATGTAGTTTGGTAGCAAAGACAATACTATAGAGTGATATCCATTTCATTTGTTAGATTGTGGTAGGGTGCATTATATCGTCTTAGCTACTAAACTATATGTTATGGTACGGATATCATAGCTTTAATTTAAATACATTATTCATAAGTTAAAAAATTTTTTTTTAATCAAGTAAATGTTTGCTAAAAGTAATTTCAAAACGGATAATTTCAACTGCAAGACACTTCTTCTTTATTCCGGGCAGTTAAAAGTGTATTTATTGCTTCCTTAAAGAGATATACTTTTTTTACAATGATAATGCCAGTAGATATAGAGATGTTAATCTGATAAATTACTTGTAAGATTTAATCACAGCATATTACAAACTTTTTAATTCCTTGAAATTTACTCAAGTTTTTGTAAAATTGTTGGTCATGTAATTTTATGTCAACATTACCGTCCTTAACATTAAATGCTCTGTAAAAGCTTACCGTCTCTAGAAATATAAAAACCACTTAGAATGTTTCATTTCTGAAGTACGATATACTTGAACAAATAGAAAAATGTGAAAAAATACTAAAAAAAGGGAATAGATATTTAATCAGTTGGAGAATATTAAAGCTACTCGTTTGTATCTGTGTTAACAGTTTTATTGCAACTCATCAGCTCAAAGGGCCGTTATGCTATGTACTCGGATCAGAAACGGAAACTAATGGCGTTGACAGGATATTGTGCTTAATTGACAGAATATACTTACAGCAAATCAGAGTAAAGTACGAGGAAAGCAAAGTGAAATAGGGAAAATAAAACGAATCAGAATCAGAGCAAAATGGAGAAAGCAATTTAGTACCTTTTTATCTTAATCTTGTTCCTATCAGTTTTGCGCAAAGTGACAAGTATCCCATTAGAAATGCCTATTTAATATGATAAAGCAAAACAAAAGAGGTTAATTCCTTCCTTTTTGTTGATGTTCATTTCTTTTTCTATTTTGAAATAATTTATGGTTTATATTTTTACAGGAACGGAACACTTAAGTTAATTGCTATTGAAATTTGGCATTAAAAATAAAATAGCTAATTTTAGAAAGTATTAAAAATAAAGATATTTTTTTCTTTAAGAATGAAGGTCATGTAAATAATTATTAAATTTTTTCCACTCAGTATAATATTGATTATTGTACGGAGTCCTTTTATATAAAAAAACTTTTAATTTTTGGTTTAAATCTAGAATTTTTGAATTATAAAATAATATTTAATAGCAATTAAAAAATATCTTAGTTATTTAAATCTAAAGGAAAACAAAGGATTTTTGGTATATACTTTATTTATATATTTTTTGTAAGTACAACTGATACTCTTCAAAATTAAATTTCTTTTCTATAATGTTAGCTGACATGAGAAGCATCTGTAACTTTATTAACTAAAGATTAAGGATAGAATCGACCTTCGTATTTTAAACAAGTAATTTTGGCTTTATTGAGGCTTAGATACTATTTACACACCATTTCGAATCGACATATATTGAGTTCTCATTTATATGTTAATAAATGTATAGCGTAATATACTCTTATACAGAGGCGAGACGTCGAATGGTTCAGAGTGTTCACTGAACACCTTAACAAAGCTTCCTTTTTAGATCTTTTTTTTATTAGGTAAATAATCTCGCTATTTTGCTATTTAACATTTTTTATAATAGCTTTTCCAAACATATTAATATAAACACAAAACGTATAATACAAACAAAACCACACATACATATGTTAGTTACACCCAACATTACTTATAATTAATAAAAGAGAAATAATTTATTTCAAATAAATTCCTCTTAAAATATACTAAGGTTCAGAATAAAAAATACACTGCGCTGCCAATGAAATAACATCCACATTGGGACTATGTTCAGTATTGAATAAACACAAAACATACAAACAAATATAAAAATAATAGAGAAAACAAGCCTCGCAA